ATATCATTTTTATTTTATCACCAAGTAGGAACTCCATATTATTTTTATTCGTGTGAGTATAAAGCTTATAATATCATAATTATCGATCCATACTCTTTGAATACCTTATACAAATCATGAAAATTATGCAATAGAATTAAACAAATAATAAATATTCTAAGAGATTAATATGTTTCCTACGGGAGACTACTAATGGCCTATAACTAATCCCTTGAAAATAAATAGATAAGGAAACTAATTACAAACAAACCATCTATTTCTAAAAAAGATCAACTCGAAAGGCTTAAATATGTGTTTTGATGAATTATGCACATTTAGTATATGATGGATTTGGTTTGAAATTCCAGGTTTCTTTGAAGGCATTCGCTATTAAGTATTAAGTATTAACAAACCTCTTTTAAATATTGTGGCACATTTCTTGCCTTGGTGCTCTTTCTATGGGTTTTTATGCTATTAAACCAAGATCTATAAACAAAATCAATATCAATCTAATTATCCATCATATGAATAATATTATTTGATAATTATTCAAGTTTTATTTTCAAATTGCTTATTTGATTCATCTGCTACAATAAATGTGATTTGCTCTTTTTCAAACCTAGCTGCTCAATTTCTATTGAAAGTTTACGTTAATGTTATGGCATGGTAAATTTTTTTTCTTAAAAATGTAATTCTTAATCTTGTTCAAGTTTATGAATATGATTTAATGTAGGTGCATATTTAAATATAAAACCATCACGATACAAAGACCTTAGCTTTTAGTGATTTATATAATATATTAGATATTAAGAAGGGAGATAGATATATGTATAAGTTAGCCAAACAAAGAGATATGAGTACTAAGGATTTAGTTCAAGTGAAGTGTATTAAGGATGAAGATCAAAAAATACTTTTCTTAGAAGATGATATTCAACAAAGGTGGATGAGAATTTGGATTCATGCCGGGTAGGTCGACTATGGAAGCCATACATTTATTAAGAGGTTTGATTGAGAAATATAGAGAAAATAAGGAGGATCTACATATGATATTTATTGATTTAGAAAAAGCATATGATAAAGTTCCAAGAGAAGTGCTATGGAGAGTTCTTGAAAAGAAAGGAGTCAATAATGCTTATATTCAAATCATTAAAGATATGTATGCAGGAGCGATTACTTGTGTTCAAACACAAGGTGGTTTGACCAGGTATTTCCCTATTTCGGTTGGGTTGCATCAAGGATCAGCCTTAAGCCCATATATTTTTGCTTTAGTCATGAATGTTCTCACTAGACATTTGCAAGAGGATGTACCTTGGTGTATGCTTTTTGCTGATGATATTCTTCTTGTTGATAAGACTAGAGAGGGAGTTGAAAGTAAACTTGAATTATGGAGGTCAACATTAGAGACAAAAGGTTTTCGTTTGAGTAAATCTAAAATGGAATATATGAAGTGTAATTTTAGTAGTAATAGACCTAGTGAGGGGATTGTGACTTTGGGTGATCAAGTCATTAATAAGAGTACATGTTTTAGATATCTTGGATCTATTGTTCAGAGTGATGGTGAAATAGATGGAGATATTATCAGCAGAATTCAAGTTGGATGGTTGAAGTGGAGGAATGCATCGGGCTTGTTGTATGATAGAAAAGTACCCCTCAAACTTAAGGGAAAATTCTATAAGATGGTAGTGAGGCCTGCAATGTTTTATGGTGCTGAATGTTGGCCATTAAAAGAGAAGCATAATATCAAGTTAAGTGTGGCAGAGATGAGGGTGCTCAGGTGGATGAGTGGCTTTACCCTTAGAGATAGGATACGAAATGAGCATATACATGAAAAGGTTGGAGTAGCTCCAGTAGAGGATAAGATTAGAGAGAGTAGTCTTAGATGGTTTGGTCACATAAAACAGCGGTCTTCCAATGACCCGGTTAGGAGAGTAGAGGTATTAGATTTGACTTATGTTAAGAAAGGTAGAGACAGGCCTAAAAAGACCTGGTTAGAAAATATCAGGAATGACCTTTCTTTATTAGATTTAAACGAGAATTTGACCTTTAATAGAACACAATGGAGAAAAAAGATTCGTGTAGCCGACCCCATGTAGTGGGATAAAAGCTTGATGTTGTTGTTGTTGTAGTACATATAACTTCAGATTGAAACTGTAAATTATATTGTGCAACTAGTATATCTTCTAAAGATGAATTACAGTCTCTCCAATATAATAAACTTCAACAATACTCTTCTCTTTTTTTATTGTGTATATGGTGCTATGTTGAGGAGATTTGATTGATTGTCTCTTTAAATTTATTTGTTATAAGTGTGGTACATAATAAAATGATTATAACATACATCAACATTTAAAGATCTTGATAAAATATAATAATATTTCATTAATGAACCTTCGCTTAATATGTTTAATTAAACAAGTATTGATAACAAATTAATCTAGAGTAAATTATATTTAGCTGCAAGATGTTTATAACTTTTATAATATTTAAAGACACTAGAATTATTTTATTTACAACTCCTAGATTGATTATGCAATTGGTCCTTATATTGTAGCCCATGCTAGTTTTGTTTTACTTTCAACACTTTGTTAGAATAATTTACCACGTATTACTAATTTATTAATTTTGTTTCAACAATTTTAATTTTCTTATAATCAAATAGATGTGAATGTTTAATGAAGTCTTAAATTATTGATCCACTTTGAGAAGATCATACCATCTTCAAATGTGAAAATTTAATTTTGAACCTCACAACAGTGATAGTTTGTTTAAACCACAACTTACCCGGTCTTATTTAAATCGCATCATTATTAATTTTTTTAATTGCACCAAATGAGATGTCCTACATTTAGTGGACATGATAATGCAAATAAAGTCTCACATAGAAATATGGATCATAAAAGAGTCAAACATTCGATCGAAAATCACACCATATTTGAAAGAACAATCATATTTTATCAAATTTGAAATATTCAATCATTCCGACTACCCAATCACTAATTAGATATTTGAAAATAGAACAAGGAGTGTAGACTTTGTGTTTGTACAAGAAGATAATTTAACTCTAAAAATTTGTAGCCTCCAACTGCAACAAACTAAAGAATCACATCCAATCTAACCATCAGGTTAAGAGGAAAGTAAAGTACTTATAAATAACACATTTTACATGTCTCCAATCCCGCTTTATTTATTATCACAAATTTACTCAAGTTACAAAAATATCAAAATAAGTTTGGCAATGACGATGTTGAATATATTCCAGAACTGAAGATATGATTAAAGGATGTGTAGAACTTGCGCAAGCTGTGCAATGGAACCCGCCATGTCTAAGTAAACAGTGACCTCTAGGGAAGCACGTACTTTTCTGGAATTGATTAACTCACGGGTCTAAAGAAATGATACGTATAAAAGACAACTTGAAACCAAGTCAGGCCCATCACAGCCCAAGAAACCAAATGACAATCAAGCAGCCCATTGTGAAGGTTTAAATAATAAATTACAGCAGCGGCCTAATGCTCACAATGACAATGAACAAAGCCACGACCATCAGAGAACCAGTGACCAATACCAAATAGAGGAAAAAAACTGAGAACCACACCAAGTAAATACAGCTAGTCTCTACAGGGATCATCATAGGCATTCTTAAAAAAAAAATGTAAAAATCAAAATGGTTACTAACTCAGCATTAACTGAAGTAAAATCAGAACTCAGATTTGCGTCACTATATGTTTAATTTTGTAATTTTATTAGCCATCCTGAGCTACTTAGGTATTATGGTGGTGCTATAACTTTTAGGTGGTCCGGTATTATGGAATTAGTGAAATTAATTACTGAAGGAATTAATTGCTCTCTTGGGCCACCCACTTTAATGCACTCTATTTAGGCTTTCCTATTGCTAGGAATTCTTGTTAGAATTGCTTGTTCTATTTGATGTAGTATTTGGTGGTTGGGCATTGTTGCTTTTATAGATAGTGGATGAATTTATTGTATTTGTACTTTCTCGGACTTGTAATATATTTAATTTACTGTGTTGTAAGTGTTTGCTTTTGTTTGATTGCTTTTATTTTAATTGTACTTGTGATCCTGATATTTCTAGTTTTATTCTGTGTCACCTAGGATTAGTTTGTTTCAACATATGTGTTTGCAAGTGAGTGAAACTCAATTTCAGTATTTGTTTCTCCCGAATTGAATTAAAGTGAGTTCTTATGCTTGAAACTCGCCTACAGAAAGGTGAGCAATGAGTTTCACTTGTGAACTCTTGAAAGTCACCTTGCTTTCTTACTATTTTGCATAAACTACTTATATAATAACATAAAGTTAAAAGGAGCTTCAGCGCGATATTACTTATATTCGTAATCACAATAAGATAATACAAAGATAGTGGATAAATATGATATTTATTGCAATCCACAAGAACATTGAAATTGAGTTTCCAAGAAGTGAGTGCATGCAAAACAAACAAGCTTTACTTTTTGAAGCTCACTTTTGGAGGTAAGCTCCATCCACTTTAAAATACTTGCATGGAAACAAATTGGCCCCTAGAGGACTAGGTTCCTGAGCATTCAAACCTTTCTTCTGCTCCATAAGAGGCTTATGCAGTTGATGTGCTATAACTTTTAGTTGGTCTGGGTTCCTTTTTTTGTAACTTTTTTTGTCTGCATTTCTTGTGTACATTTGTCAGAATTATATCGTTTCACTTTCATGATTATTACCATGTTTGTTTTTTATTGTTTTTGAGTTATTATTTCTCTTACAATATTTTTTTTTTCATTAAATGTTACTTTGCTCCATTTTTATAAATACTGTTCTTAGTAATTGTATTTATCCTTGTAATGGACATTATTATTTTTAAATACAAAGTTATAGTGCAATATTATACCTGTTTTATGTTATATTTTATGAACATTTTAATAACTTAAATGGATTTTGGAAGCCTCTATAAATTTCTTCGGGTTTCTAAAGAAATTTTTATAAATCTGCAATGATATTATGAATTTATGATAGCAATTCAATCTTTTTTATAGGCACAAGCTATTGTAGATCCATTTGCTTATGAAACTTATATAGAGAAGAAGAAACAGGAAAAGATTGAGGCTGAGCGCGCTTCTCGCATTACGGTAACTTGAATTTTTTTTTTTATGCTAATATGCTGCACATGCATTGGATCTTGCTTATAAATTCAATTTTGCAGATTAAAAGGAAGTTGCCCAAAGTAAACCGTTTGCTTGCTGCTAGGCTTCTTGAAAATCAAGAAGCGGAAGGTGAGGTGATGATTGCAGATGACCATAATGCAAAAAAGAAATTGTCAAAGAAAAATAGAGGCTTGACGAGTGATATTTTGAGAGATGAACGTTTTACTGCAATGTTTGAGAATAAGGTATATGTGGAAACTGTTTTTGTTCCTTGTGAGAACCCTTTTTACTTCTGGTTCCTTAGTGATATATTCCTCACCCCACCAAAACTGAATTATGCTTTATGAAAGTCTGTAATATTGTTCAAATAGCAGTTTTTCTTTTTAATTTTTTACTTTTTCCAACATTTTCTCTTATGGTCATTAAGTTTGATTGATACAATACATTCAGCAGTACCATGTATTCAAAATTCAAATAATAAATTTTTAGTGCTTTGTTCACGAAATCTAAATAATATTTTTTTAGCTGTCTTACTGGGAGTTGATATCAATCTAAATTTTGGATTTATAATTCTAAATTCATTTTGAGAAGTAGAGGTTTTGCTTTTATCTGCAACGAAGTTTTCTTCTTGTGCCATTTAAACACAATTTGTATTACTGTTTTTAACTAGTTACTTTATTGCTATAAATTCCATGTTTAGATAGTTTTGTTTGGTTATCGTACGACATCAAAATGATTGTATCTGAGAATATGGATTTCACTCATGATCTTTCCACATCCCAATGATTTTATCTGGTATATCGTTCTGTTGAATTTTTTTATCACTCTTTTTTTTTCTGATAAATTTCTGCGTATTTTGCAGGACTTTGAAGTTGATGAGCTATCACGTGAATATCTTTCACTTCATCCTCAATCTACCAAGAAGAATTCCTCTCTGATTGAAGAATATTTTGACCCAGTAATGGAGGATGAGGAAGAAGGTACCAGTAGCTCTGATGCTTCAGTAGCTTCTCAATCATTAGAAGAGGAGTCTGATGAGGATAAAAAGCATAAGAAGAATCCAAAGCGTGTGAGGTAATACTGCTATCAATGATCTTGTATGTTTCTTCTTATTCTTAGTAGAATTTGCTGTGATAAACAATAATAGCCTGGTAGGTAGGAAAAAAGGGATTTAACCTAGTTATTTAGGGGTCTTCATCTGCTTCCAATTGATGACGCCATATCACAGTAAAAAAATCATGCAAGTATTGTGGAAAATTTAATTTCCATCAATTGCACCTGCAACAATGTTCCACTGAGCGTAGCAATTGTCCACTTTATTCACCTCATACAACTTCGGCGATGGGTGGAGTGCTTCCTTATTAATTCATGAACTATTATATTATTCCACAAGTTATTCACATATTTTGTATGTTTCCTATTAGAGCTATCCTTTTTTTTTTAAATTTTTTTTATTAGAGCTATCCTATGATTGTGTACATAAACAAATATTGGAATGTGAAAAATAATAAATTCTGTTTAATTCTTATCATGGAAATCAAATCGTTAGACTTTTTCAGCATTTCTATAAGTCATAACCTTTATCGTTGCATTGCCTAGAACTTGTAAGCCTTCTTTGTTGCAGGATCTTTGTTTTTTGTTCCATCTTGTCCTCTATTTGTAGCCTTCATTGCTGCAGCTTTATCTTTATCTTTCTTTCTTTTTGCAATCTATTACTTCCACATTTTTCCTTTCCATTTAATCACTCATGTTCCTTTGATCTTTAGCTTTTTTTGGAATTAAAATCAGTAACCCAAATCCATTAGGAGAATTACAAAACATTCATTGACATATCATTTGAATGAAAATAATTACTAAGATATCATTTTTTTTGTCTAAGGACTAATCTTGAATTATGAAAATTTGAACAGAAGGATGGAAAATCAAAGCTTGGAACTCATTAACAGAGATAGGATTCTAAAGAAATTGTAGTTCTTTAGTGACAGTAATGTGGCAGTCATTATTAGAAAATTTCATGATAAGATTGTGATAATTGTGTGAAACGGAGCTTAAGGATAAGATTGTGATAATTGTGTGAATTGGAGCCTAAGGATTGTAACAATTGCATTCTAAGAGTGATATTAGTGCCGTGAATAGATAGAACAAATAAATCTAAGAGCACTTGATACCCTTGTATGGTAATTGCGACTTGAGAGATTTAAAAATTGCTTAATAATAAATTGCCAATGCCAATAGATACCTTAAGTTGTTTAATCGGTTGTGGTTTGAGATGGTGTTGAAGAAGGCTATCTTGAATAAATTTTTGAGTGCTTCTACTATCGATTAAAATACGAATATTTTGCGGGTTAATATAGCACGTCAAATGGAAAGCACCTGTATTGAATTGTGGGAGCTTTGGTGGGTAGGACCAATAGCAGTAGGCTGTGGGAAGTTGGGTGAGTGAAGGTGGTTTGGGTGGTACGCGAGGATGCTTGTTGGGGGAATGGGTAGGAAGTGGTTTCCACCATTGGGACGAAGGTATGGTTAGAAAATCTTGAAATTTAGATTTGTGATGATGAGCCAATTTCATTGTATTTAAGAGATTAATTGGTTTATTAATAAAAGTTCCCTAACCAATTCTTGTTTAAGCTCAAACCTTTAATAACTAATGAGAGTTAATTCAGATAAGTTGAAAATTTTAAAAGAAAGATTTTCTTAAAGCCGTTTGGTATTTAAGAATGAAGTTTGTTTGGTTAATTTGGAAGGTTTGCTGTGGAGGTCTTTGTATGAAGAAATATCAGAACATTTTTGTTAAGAAAGTATGAATTTGGACCAAGGGTTTTGGCCTTTCATTCATTGCCATTTATACCAAGTTGTTACAGGGCCTTCAAGATGAAAAGAGCACTGGTTGATTGGATTGCATTGTGCCTAAAGCATTGGTGAAATTTAAATTCTTTATTTTGAATCACAAGAGCACTAGTTGATATGCTCCTTGGCGCATAAAAAGCTTAGGGGACACCTTTTGAGTTTTGAGTAGGCATAGACTCCTAGAAGAGAGAATGAGGGATAGAAGAAAATAGATTTTGTATTTATTTCCCAAATCTATACTACAGGGCTGTATTTAAAGTCTAAATTTTCCTAATGGCTGATTCGATTTGGGCTTATGGCTAAATCGATTTAGACCTACTAATTAAAAACAAACGAAGTAAATACAAAAAGGATTAATTAAATATTATTAAAAGCTATTCCTACTGCATGGTTAAAACTTTAGGTTTTACTTACGGCTAGGTTGAAACTATTGTTGGGACAATCAGTTGACTGATGTTGTGGATCATGGCTTGTGTTAGGAACTTTCCCTCTTCAAAGATATACTCAGTTGTGTGTATTGTTATGTTTAGAATGTTCTTCAGTATTTCTAATTGAATCTTCCCACTTATTTTGAATTTTAGTTGGATCTAAGCGAATAAATTGTTTCCTAACAACAGTGCTTGAGGAAGATGATTGGAGTTGATAAAGAAAGAATTGATTTTATAGAATTCAATGACCAAGGAAGCTGCAAACTATCAATTATTTAATCTTTTCTTTCTAATGCTAAGCCGTTGATCAGCCTAGTGTTACACTTGATGTCACTACTCATATCTCCCGAGGCTTTGTCTAAGTTAAGTTCAGTTGGGTTACGGTTCAGGAATGCATGTTTAAAATCTATATATGTTCCTATTGAATCGAAAAGGGTAGGTTTTTATAGGTTGGGCTGGCTAATAAATAACCTAGTGTTTAGGGTTTAGGATCTGACAAAAAAGGGGTTCATTTGTTTAGGGTTTAGTATTGTTTTAACACGAAGTTGTTGATCAGCCTACTGTTACACTTGATGTCATTACTCTTATATTTCTCGAGGCTTTGTTTGAATTATGTTCGATTTGATTTGCAGTGCATTCACAACCTAGTGTTTAGAGTTTGGGATCTGACAAAAAAGTGGGTTGGTGTGTTTAGGGTTTTGGGTTGTCTTAACACTAGGTCGTTGATCAGCATAGCATTACACTTGATGTCACTACTCTCATACCTCTTGAGGCTTTGTTTGAATTAGGATAAGTTTGGTTTGTGGTCCAAGAATGTGTACTTACCATTCCGATATGATGTTCCTATTGAATCAAAAGGGCAGGCTCTTATGGTTGGGTTGGATTGGCTAATAATAACCTAGTGTTTAGGGTTTTGGATCTGACAAAAAGCGGGTTCGTGTGTATGCGCCTTGCTCATAGCTATCTTGACATTGTAAGAAAAATGATTGACATTTGAAAGTTAGGTGAAGACTCTTTCACCCTAATCCATACATGAATAGACTTTTTTTCGCTAAGAACCATAAAGGTGTCAAAACGAGTCATCAACCATTTACTATGCGTTCCACTTGTCAATGCTATGTTGCGTACGCTTGCGCTCCAAAAAATGGTTGTGTACAAGCCATCCGATTAATTATAATGTTCTTTGGATTTAAATATCCCACAAGTTATAGTTAAATTCTTCCCTCGCTTCAATTTCTCAAGTAAAATTGTTCCTGAGATGTTTAGAAGCGATGTTTTTGTCCATACACATCCTTAAAATAGAAAATTTTGATCCAAGAGCAATTTTATATATATATATATATATATAATTGTTTAGAAGCGATGTTTTTGATGCAATTTCTCTTCAGTTACCCTTTAGCTTCCCTTTAGGTGCCCTTTAACTGTCCTTTAGGTGCCCTTTAGCTGCCCTTTAGGTGCCCTTTGTTACCCTTTAGCCGCCCTTTAGCCGCTCTTTAGGCGCCCTTTAGTTGTTTTTTAGGTGCCCTTTTCTCATTCATTTATTTATGAATATTTACCCTTTTATACTTACGAAATCATTAACATTAATAAAGATTACTTTCTACATAAATAATTTTATATATGTTCGACCATGTTCATACAAAGTAATTAAAATAAATGTGGCCATAAGCATAATCAAGATGAAGTGCAATAATAAAATATTTACTAATTCTTATAATCTTGGTTGGGTATCTCACATCGCTAGGAATTTGTTCTCCTAGATTTTGTCTTCCTTTCCTCTTTTAAACAATCTCTATTAAGTTCATTTTCATTCAATAGTAATCATTTTCTTTCTTTTTCTAATAAGTTCATCTTGAGATACAAACAAAGTTTAGATGATTATACATTATTTGTGAAACATGACTTTATGGGGAGTTTTTGTGCTCTAGTTAATGCAAATAACATCGTCATAACATGGAGTGACTTGGAAGTTAGACTTTAAAGAAGTTGTTCGAAGAATTTGAAGTCAAAGAATAAGGCAAGCTAAATTAATTCCTTTGTATTGAGATTGCACACTCTTGACATAGAATCTTTATATCACAATAGAAGTACAAAACAAATATGTTGAATGAAACTAGTTGGGTGCATGGATGTCGAGAGCCTCTTATATACAATCGTAAACTTGTAGATGCTCTAGAAGGCAATTATAGAAAAAAATCTTCTATCAAAGATGTAGAGAAAGTTTATCTACCCATTACATACTATATACGATATTACCTATGTTGTTGGCATGGCAAGTCTATTCATGCATAATCATAAAGAATCACACCTTTGGGTTGGACATCGAATTTTGCATTATTCGAGAGAAACTACAGATAAAAGAATTCATTCAAAAGGGTGAATGATCTGACACTTAAAGCCTGCATATATGTCGATTATAAATGATCTATGGTTAATATGAGGTCAATTTTAGGATATTGCACATTCTTTAGAGGCAACACTCATGACTTGGAAATTTGGAAAACAAAATTCCGCATCATGATCTAGCACACAAGCCAAATTTATATCCATGGCACTAGTAATCAACTAATTATTATGATTGAAAATTATCCTATAAGATTTGAAGGTTAAATGTAAAGATCCCATTTGGCTTTATTGTGAGAATAAGTTAGCCATCAATATTGCATATAATTCTGTGCAAAGTGATCGAACAAAATATAATGAAGTGGGTATACATTTTATAAAAGAGAAGCTAGATGGTATAATATGTACTCGGTTTATCATTATAGATAGGCAATCGGAGGCATTCTCATCAGAGGATTGTCATGAGTAATAATTAAAATTTGATATGCCAACTTGGAATGAATATCCACTCATTCATTTTTTGGGGGAGAATGAAAAAAAAAAAAAAAAACAATCTCCATCAATTCCACTTCCCTAAATATTTCAGTGAGGCAAATAGTCCTCCACCTTATTCATTTCATGTCCCTTGCTTGAGATTATTAGTGCCATCTCATCTATTCGTGGATTATTATAATTGTTCACTAATTATTATTGTCTACCTAGTAATTCATTGATTATTGTAATTATTTTATAATTATTATTCCTTGATTTTATATGCTTTTTTAATAGAAGCTGTCCTATGATTGTATAAATATTGTGCAAATATTGGAATAAAAAAAAAATAATTTCTCACCAATTCCTTTCATATATATTAGTTCTGCATGTATAACACTGATCAAGAAGTGGTGTAGTGGAACGAACGCAATTAAACTGAACTACGGAATCATAAGCAATCGATTTGTTTGAGCTGTGTACTTTTACTTGATGGATGTTAAGTACGTTAGATTTCAACATCCGCTACATTTATTTTTCTTTCAAAGGTTATACGAAGGTTATATTTATCTGCATTTCTTCTTCTAATATTTCCATAAAGGTTATACGAAGTGAAGGATGAGCGCCACGCTGAAGCATTTTGGAGCGCAGTTTCCCTTGCAAAGGATGATGCCCTTCCTCTGGGCGAGAGGGTTGCGGCACTCGAGAAGAGATCTGCTGCTCCAAGTAATGTGAAGCTTGGTCTCGGTGGCTCGCGAGAGATTTCCTTTTTGTCTACCAATACAAAACAGCAAAAGAAGGTTGAGAACCCTCCTGAGGGGAAAAGAAGGGGCATTAAACCACTTGGGTTGAAGCCGGGCAAAGCAGAATTCTATGGCAGAAAAAGGCAAAATGGCCGCAGCAGAAGGCACTGACAGGGCATGTGAAGATTGCTTCATTGCTTATATAATGGTAAATTAAGGTCTTTCTGATGCCATCTTACATAGCAATGCAAAAGAGGGACAAGTTTTCTTCCCCACCTTAGTTCACTGATCTACCCAGTTTTGATGTTTAATCTATTATTCAATTATTCGATGCGATGTTATTGTGGTTGATCTGTAATACAGATCAACTTCTTTTTGTTTTATTACTGCTGTACATAATTTTGCATGTGTTGATAAAGTTTGCATGCATATTTTTTAATTAGTTTAAATTTTGTTTTTGGTGGAATTTAGCTGTAATTGTTTGACATTTTAGCTCCAACGGGTTTGTAGCTTCTGCTATTATTTTATTCTGTGGCTAGCTGCATAACGGGAGAAATTATTCTGTGCCAGCTCCGGATGTTGAGCAACTTTTTTTTTTTTTTTTTGCAAGTGACTCCATTTGCACAAGAACTGATAGAAGGAAATGCTGGAAATTGCAAGGAGAATTTTTTGTAGGAACTTCGGAGAACTGTAATTGCCGGATATTGAAAATCAAATAGGCGCTTGAAATTTGAAAATTTCCGGCATTTCACCTTTTTGCCTTACTCTGGGTAGGCGGGTGGCGGTCGGGCTGACAAGATAGATTAAAATTGGGTTGGTAGTCCTAGCGGACTATCCACGTGGCATTTTTTACCCAGGCAAACCACTCGTAACAATTTTATTGGCGTTCGGATGTAGCTTTACGTCTGAAGTCTGCACATAATAATTTCTCGCATAACGGACCTGTTAGAAGAAAATTTAGGCTCTCTAAAAGAACAAAATAGGAGAATTGGTGACACAACTAAAAAAAAAGTAGGCTATAGATTAGTTTTATTGTAAAGTACAAATCTGATGAGGCATAAAGGTAGACTAGTGGCAAAATGCTATACTCAAACATGTGATTGATTATTTTGAAACTTTCAGTATTGTTATTAAAATGAATTTTGTTTGTAGTCTCTTATAATTAGCAGGTAATAAGGATTGAAAATATAATGATTTGAGTTTAAAGATTGCTTTCTTACATGTTGATTTGGAGGTATTATATATGGAGGTTCTGTAATGCCCTCAAAATGATTAAAATAATGTACGCATTAACTTCCTATGAATATTAACTTATTTTATTATAAGTTTATATAGATGTAAATTAAGTTAATATATTAATCAATTTAGTTAATTAATAATTAACTTGATAGTGGATAATACTGTAGCATGCCATTTATTTAATATATATATTCTACTGTAGCTATTCCACTAATCTCAGCATGCAAGGGATTGATTTTTGGCATGCTGCAATCTGACGGCTAAGGGTGAGTTTGGTGGACTAAGTGGAAAGAGCACTGAGATATAAAATATGTTTTAGTTCACTTCTCATTACCAAATTTTTTTTACCACATATAAGTCTATCTGGAGTTTGCTAAGCTGTTGTAAGCGGGTTCTAGAGGATTCGTGAAGGCTCAGTTGGGAGGATAAAGTCCAGGTAAAACAATTTATAGTTACTAAAATGAACTTTTGCTGAAATCTATGATTACAAAGGATGGAATTTAATAATGTTTGCTGAAATCAGTTGGTGGTAGTTGAGTTCATCGTGGTAGATTGCTGGACATAGGAAAAGAAAGAAAAGGATTACTATTGAATCTCTGTTTAAAATTGCGCAATAAGAGGCGCGCCTCTGCGCAATTTGACCCAAAACCGCCTCGAGGCTTACGCAATTCCTCTCCTGGCAGAGGCGTACGCCTCACTTGAACTGAGGCGCGCCTCAGAGGCGCAATTGCGCAATTCTGGCTGAGGCGTACGCCTCAAATATATGCTTAGTATCGCTCAGTATATGCTCGGTATAGCTAGGTATTTGCTCGGTACTGCTAGGTACATGCTCGGTACCGCTCAGTATATGCTCGGTACAGCTAGGTATTTGCTCGGTACTGCTAGGTAGATGCTAGGTACTGCTCAGTACCGCTAGGTACACATGCTCGGTACTGCTAAGGAACATGCTCGGTACCATTCGGTATCTTCCCATAAAAACAACTTACGAACTTCAAAAACAAATAGAACTTCAAAATTACTCTTACAATCAAATTTTTCAACTTCTAGAATTAAGAGTGTAGGCTTATCTTATCATGTTTTTCGCCTTTACTTGTGCGGGCCTATCCCCCATATATAACTTATTTCACTTTTTATATAGTCATCCTTTTTAGCCCTAATGATATATGCTTTTGATGACATAGTTGCTCTTTAGGTTCTCTTCAGTTACCCTTTAGCTTCCCTTTAAGTGCCCTTTAACTGCCCTTTAGTTGCCCTTTAGGTGCCCTTTAGCTGCCCTTTAGTTGCCCTTTAGTTGCCTTTTAGCTGCCCTTTAGGTGCCCTTTGTTACCCTTTAGCCGCCCTTTAGGTGCCCTTTAGTTGCCTTTTAGGTGCCCTTTTTCTCATTCATTTATTTATGAATATTTACCCTTTTATACTTACGAAATCATTAACATTGATAAAGATTACTTTCTACATAAATAATTTTATACATATTCGACCATGTTCATACAAAGTAATTAAAATAAATGTGGTCATAAGCATAATCAAGATGGAGTGCAATAATAAAATATTTATTAATTCTTATAATCTTGGTTGGGTATCTCACCTCGCTAGGAATTTGTTCTCCTAGACTTTGTCTTCCTTTCCTCTTGTAAACAATCTCTATTAAGTTCATCTTCATTCAATATTAATCATTTTCTTTCTTTTCCTATGTCCAGCAATCTACCACAATGAACTCAGCTACCACCAACTGATTTCAGCAAACACTATTAAATTACATCCTTTTTAATCATAGATTTCAACAAAAGTTCATTTTAATAGCTATAAATTGTTTTACTTGGACTTTATCCTCCCAACTGAGCCTTCACGAATCCTCTAGCACCCGCTTACAACAACTTAGCAAACTCCTTATAAACTTATATGTGGTAAAAAAAATTTGGGAATGAGAAGTGAACTAAAACCTATTTTATATCTCATTGCTCTTTCCACTTAGTCCACTAAACTCACCCTTAGCCGTCAGATTGCAGCATGTCAAAAATCAATCCCTTGCATGCTCAGATTAGTGGAATAGCTACAGTAGAATATACCCTTTTATACTTACGAAATCATTAACATTGATTATATATATATTAAATAAATGACATGTTATAGTATTATCCACTATCAAGTTAATTGTTAATTAACTAAATTGATTAATCTATTAACTTAATTTACATCTATATAAACTTATAATAAAATAAGTTAATATTCATAGGAAGTTAATGCTTACATTATTTTGATCATTTTGAGGGCATTACAGGTTCCACAAGGGTTTGGCTCAAACAAAAAACAAAAAGTATATAGACTAAAATATATTATATGCATTAAAGCAATCTCCAAGGGAAAATTCAGGAGGCTCACCAAGGTATTGCACATCATGGGATACAAACAAAGTTTAGATGATTATACATTATTTGTGAAACATGACTTTATGGGGAGTTTCTGTGTTCTAGCTAATGCAAATGACATCGTCATAACATGGAGTGACTTGGAGGTTATGTAGACTTTAAAGAAGTTTTTCGGAGAATTTGAAGTCAAAGAATAAGGCAAGCTAAATTAATTCCTTTGTATTGAGATTGCACACTCTTGACATAGAATCTTTATATCACAATAGAAGTACAAAACAAATATTTTGAATGAAACTAGTTGGGTGCATGGATGTCCAGAGCCTCTTATATACAATCGTAAACTTGTAGATGCTCTTGAAGGAAATTATAGAAAAAAATCTCCTATCAAAGATGTAGGGAAAGTTTATCTACCCATTACATACTATATATACGATATTACCTATGTTGTTAGCATGGCAAGTCTATTCATGATCATAACACCTTTGGGTTGTACATTGAATTTTGCATTATTCGAGAGAAACTACAGATAAAAGAATTCATTCAAAAGGGTGAATGACACAACTCTCCTTGGTCTATTGGTTGAGAGCTAAGGCTTCCAATTAAGAGGTCTAAGGTTCGAGTCTCTGTGTATGCGTTGTGTGTGTGAGTTTGCCTTAAATGGCCTAAATGTCCCAAAAAAAAGGGTGAATGATCTGACACTTAAAGCCTGCATATATGTCGATTATACATGATCTATGGTTAATATGAGGTCAATTTTAGGATATTGCACATTCTTTAGAGGCAACACTCATGACTTGGAAATTTGGAAAACAAAATTTCGCAGCATGATCTAGCACACAAGCCAAATTTATATCCATGGCACTAGTAATCAACTAATTATTATGATTGAAAATTATCCTATAAGATTTGAAGGTTAAATGTAAAGATCCCATTTGGCTTTATTGTGGAAATAAGTTAGCCATCAATATTGCATATAATTCTGTGCAAAGTGATCTAACAAAATATAATGAAGTGGTTATACATTTTATAAACGAGAAGCTAGATGGTATAATATGTACTCGGTTTATCGTTATAGATAGGCAATCAGAGGCATTCTCGTCAGAGGATTGTCATGAGTAATAATTAAAATTTGACATGCCAACTTGGAATGAATATCCACACTCATTCATTTTTTGGGGGAGAATGCAAAAAAATCAATCTCCATCAATTCCACTTCCCTCAATATTTCAGTGAGGCAAATAGTCCTCCACCTTATTCATTTCTTGTCCCTTGCTTGAGATTATTAGTGCCATCTCATCTATTCGTGGATTATTATAATTTTTCACTAATTATTATTGTCTACCTAGTAATTCATTGATTATTGTAATTATTTTATAATTATTATTCCTTGATTTTATATATTTTTTTAATAGAAGCTGCCCTATGATTGTATAAATATTGTGCAAATATTGGAATAAAAAATAATAATTTCTCACCAATTCCTTTCATATATATTAGTTCTGCATGAATAACACTGATCAAGAAGAGATGTAGTGGAACGAACGCAATTAAACTGAACTACGGAATCATAAGCTATAAGCAATCGATTTGTTTGAGCTGTATACTTTTACTTGATGGATGTTCTGTACGTTAGATTTTTCACCATCCGCTACATTTATTTTTCTTTCAAAGTTTATACGAAGGTTATATTTATCTGCATTTCTTCTTCTAATATTTCCATAAAGGTTATACGAAGTGAAGGATGAGCGCCACGCTGAAGCATTTTGGAGCGCAGTTTCCCTTGCAAAGGATGATGCCCTTCCTCTGGGCGAGAGGGTTGCGGCACTCGAGAAGAGATCTGCTGCTCCAAGTAATGTGAAGCTTGGTCTCGGTGGCTCGCGAGAGATTTCCTTTTTGTCTACCAATACAAAACAG